TCTAAACATTGCTCTTATAATAAAATGAAATTTTTTTTATGTCTATTTCATTAGTATAAGGTGGAGGATATGGCAATGAATCAACTGGTTCAGTTTGCTTAAGGTCATTCAAAAGGAGTTGGTAAGGAGTATTATTCATTAGGAAAATGTTGAAAGTATCCATTTTTCATTAACTTGTGGGGGAGGATTTTTCAATGGCTTTTTATATTCAATTTTATCATTTAATTATCATCATTGGTTTAGGCAGAGATTGCTGGTGATAAGGTTTCAGCTGTACACCATTAATTGATACTTTCAAAATTTTTCTGTTCTCATCCTTAATTTGTAAACTCCGTTCCCTAAATCTATATGAATGTAATAAGGTTCAGTCCAATGATCGTTCAATTTTCTTTTTTCTTCAATCTTAGTTTCATACTTTAATACTAATTGTCCTACTTCAAATTTGTAATCAGTTTACAGATTTCTATCATGATGTTCCTTTTGTTTTTGCTGTACCACTGTTATCCTATTTTGTGTCTCCTTAATGTTATCCTTCATTCGTCTAGTTATTCATTATACTCTCTGTAGTAAATCATTTTGTACGTCATTAGATGATGATTTAATATTTTGTGTTTCTACCTGAAATTCAATTGGCAATGTAACATTTCTTCCGTAGATTAAATAAAAAGATTTATGTCGTGTTATTTCATGTTGCTTAGTTCTATACGCAAAAAGGGCTGAGGGAATGAATGTATCCTAGTCATCATTATTATCATTTGCAAATTTGGCTAATGTTTCACATAGTATTTGATTGAAATGTTCAACAAGTCTATTTGTTTGTGGATGGTATGCAGTTGATAGTTTGTGCTTTACTTCTAATTCATTGCACAAAGAATTTAACATTTCATTTACAAAATGTGTTCCTCAATCAGTAAGAAGTTCCTTTGGACAACTATGTCTACAAATAATATCTTCATAAAAGAAAGAAATAACTGACTTTGCTTTTGCATCTGGTATCGCTCTGGCTTCTAGCTACTTTGTTAAGTATTTAATTGCGACAACTATATATTTGTTTCCTCTTTTAGTTTTTGGTAAAGGTCCAACAATATCCATTCCAATTCGATCAAAAGGTTGTCTTACTTTAATGGGATGTAGAGGTTCTGTTCGCTTATTTTTACTTCATCGCTAACAAGCATCACATGTTTGAATATATTGTCATACGTCCTCATACATCTGAGGCCAGTAATATCTAATTTTCACTCTTCTATAAGTTTTTTTGAGAGCAAAGTGTCCTACTAAAGGGTCTTCATGTAAATTATATAGGATGTCATTAACCTTATGTTTGCGAACTACTTTGAGAGGTCGTTGTGGTTCCTGTTTATTTTGCTTGTATAATTGACCATTGATTACAATAAAATATCATGTTTTACGTTTTTTTGCTGCTTTTTATTTGTTGTCAAAATGTGTTAGCATAGAAAGTTCTGTTAAATATTGAATTAAACCAAAGTATGTATCTGAATCTATTATTTCCGTTAAAATCAAAAAGCCATTATCAAAAGAGGTGACCATTAAGTTTTTATCCCGTTAGTTGTAAAAATAAATAAGTCCTTAGTGTTGTATTTGACTTAATATATCTACGTTTGTATGTGATTTTTCTGAGCGATTAAGTAATCTATGTTATATCCGTTCAAAGTCATAAGTCAACGTCTAAGTTTGCCAACTGGATTCTTCATGTTTTTAAGATATACTAGAGCAGCGTGGTCAGTAACAACAACAAATTTTTGTCCATATAAGTAATGATGAAAGTATTTGATAGACCAAATTACAGCAAGATATTTCAATTCAGTAATCGAATAGTTTTGTTCATATTTGTTATTACTCGTTCTTTTTTGTCATTTCCTTTTTGGGATAAAATAGCTCCAAAAGCATAAGTAGAAGCATCAGTATATAAAATATATGGTTTGTCAAGATCAGAGTATGCTAAGATTGGAGGGGAAGTTAGCAATTCTTTAAATTTTCAAATGTTTTTTGTTGATCAATTGTCCAGCGATAGGAAACATTCTTTTTAAAAAGTCTATTCAGAGGTTCAATAATGGTAGAGAATCCTTTTATAAATTTCCTATAATATGAGGCAAGTGCAATAAATCCTCTCAACTGAGTCAAGTCCTTTGGGATTGGAAATCCTTTAATTGTAGCAACTTTTTTAGGATCTGTTTATATGCCTTTACGTAAAGCTCTGAACGGTTTGGATTAATCCAAAAATTTTCAGTTCAGATTAACTTCGGTTCAGTTTTGGATTGCAAAAAATTCAATCCGAAAATTTTCGGTTCAGTTCGGATTTTTTTCAGATTATAAATCTAATCCAAACCGAAGAAAATTCAAACCGAACCGAAAATTTCGGATTAATCTGAAAGTTCGGTTCGATATATTCGAATCTCAAAGGGAACCTAATGTGCGATTCTCTAAAAAGTTTCGCAAAGTAATTGCGAAACTCTAAGAGGATCGCAAATTACTTGCGAAACTCTAAGGGGAATCGCAAAGTAATTGCGAAACTCTAAGAGAATCACAAAGTAATTGCGAAACTCTAAGAGAATCGCAAATTACTTGCGAAACTCTAAGGGAATCGCAAAGTAATTGCGAAACTCTTTAGAGAATCGCACATTAGGTTCCTTTCGAGATTCGAATATATCGAACCGAACTTTCGGATTAATCCGAAATTTTTGGTTCAGTTCAGATTTTTACCGGTTTACGGTTCAGTTCGGTTTCGGATTGGCATTTTTAAGATTTATAATCCAAACTGAACCGAACTGGAATTTTTGGTTCGGTTTCAGATTGGCCTATAATCTGGACTGAACCAAACCGTTCAGAGCATTATCTAGTTTTATACCTCGGCAGAGACTTGAACCTGTGGCTATTGCAGTATAACCCACAATAGGAGCTCAGTTGTTACCAACTGAACTAAGGATGCCAATCCTTTTTTTTTTTAAAAAATTCTATTATTTTATAAAAATACAATAAATTTCTAAATATAATTTCTAAACATAAATTGACACTTCAAAATATGATTTTACCATTTAGGAAGTTATTTAACTATATGCAACTAATAATGCATATATAAAATCATTATAAGTTTTCATAACAATGTGATTATACTTAATCTATGATTTAATAGTTGAAAATGCAGTTTCATAAGATTATAATCAGAGGAAGAATAATAATATGACATCTTAATCCTTTTATTAACTTTACTAACTCACTATTATGATAAATTCTAGTATTATCTATTACAATAACACCATTATCTCCTGGATATAGATTCATAATTGATACTTAAAAATAATATATAAATTTATTTAATTATATATAAAGATAAATAAAATAAAATTTATAATTATTATTTACCACTTGACTAAGAATAAAATTAACAAATCTTTTTCAATCATATAATCCTTTAAATTTATCAACAGTAATAAATCCTTCTAATATAAGTGCAGGTAATATAGTGTATCATTTTTTTTGTATAAAAACTACTTTTTTTGAGCTAGCATATTTCTGGGTGAATATCTATACAATCGTGATAAACTTTTATCATCTTTGATATTCTTATCAAGAAAAATAAGTTAATTTCATATATAATATTTATTAATTAATAAGCACACACAAATTCATTTCTTTCTAATGCTACTTTTTATAACTTTATCAATAAAAAATACTTAAGTTAAAATTTATATCAAATATTTAATACATTAACAAATAACATAAAAAAATAGATTATCTTTTTTCTAGTAATTTCTAAATATTGAAGTGAGCATTAAAATGTTATAACAGATGCTCTTTTTCTAGTTAAGCATTCTATTTCATATACTAACTCATCTAAATATAATTCCACCTTTTCTATTATAAAATTTCTAAGTATAGTCATACCTTCTCTACTAAATAATTTTTTACAATCAGAAATTCCCTTGAAAGATTTTTAATACATGCCTAACAGTTATATTGTTTCTTTATCTTATTTACAACACCCTTACTTATATATAATAAATTAGCAATATCTAAAGAAGAAATTTCATCAGTATAAAGATAAATAATACGCTAATACAAATCTTCAATAAATTTGCGAGACATATTCGTTTACTTATAAAAAATAAGAAACAACTTGAAATCAGTTGAGACTTAATTGGGAATCAGTTAGGAATCAGTAAGAATTTAGGAATTATTTTATATGCTATAAGCTGAAATATAAAATGAAATAATAAAATAATAATTTTGATAATACAATAATAGCTTAGTATTATGCAGACCTTAAAACAATTATTTTTTATTTATTTTTATATAAGCAGTAAAAAAATTACCGATCACACTATTTTAAAAATGGCGATAATAATATTCCTTATACAACATGTATAATATAAGAAAAATACATGTGTTATGTAGTGTTTTTTAAAATACATGCATAAGTAGAAATAAAAAATTTAGATTTTTTACATTTCATAAAAAAATATCATTTATATATTCATGTTTCTTAATTTGAAAACCTGATTTTTTAAATTTGTATAAGCATTTTTATTATAATTTTTATGTAAAAATTAAGAATATATTCGATTAAAACATAAATGTAATACTCAAAAATTGAAAATCTGTTTTTTGATCAAAAACGGTAACTTTTGTATGATTTTGCATAAGATCTTCAGACTAATTACACTTTAGACTAGTAATTTAAAATTAATTAATTAATTAATTATGATTTATAATATAATTACGTATTACAACTTTAATAAGACATATCATAATTTTAGAACCGTTAATTGAAATTAGAGTTGCAACCTAAGTTGTAATCCAAAATGCCACAACTATTACTTACGATTAGCAACTTTAATCTCGAAGACTATTTTCCCGAATAGACATTTTCCGAAAACTTTGAGCAGAGTTATCATAATGTAAGTCAAACTTTTCAGAAAAACAGCCCTTTAGGATAACGTATTGTAACTATTAGTTTGTTTGCTATGTTTGCTTCGTTTGTTTCATTTTTTTGCTTCGTTTGCTTCGTTTGTTTCGTTAGCTTCATTTTTTTGCTTCGTTAGCTTCATTTTTTCATTTGCTTCATTTGCTTCTCTTGCTTCATTAGCTTCGTTTGCTTCGTTTGCTTCGTTTTGCTTTTTCGTTTCTTTTTTTTAAAAAAATAAAAAATAAAAATTTTGGCTTTTTTATATCGCGATCATGATATATATAGGGGTATATAAGGATGAACTGGCGTAATATATATGGGATACATTTTTTTTATTTTTGCATAGCACAGATACAGGCACTCTAAATGCACAAATATTTTTTATTAGGCAAAATGTAACACATTTTAAATTTTTTTTTACAGTTAATATTAAAGTTAGATGTTACACAAGTATTATTTTATTATGCGCATTTTTTTTTTATTTTATGTGATTTTCTATAAAATATGTGATTGAAAAAGATCTTAAAAATATCTGTATTAGAACCCGACAATGCAAAAATATGTCAATAAATATGATTGGCTCATACAGCAAAATTCAAAATGTGCGGGACACTCGGCAAATTTGATGGGGGTATCAACGTTATATATATTATTAGTGTAACACGTGTTTTATATATACACAATAATATAAACAATATTTTACTAATATATATTAGATTTCTTTGTACAGTACAACTATTAAAATTTTCATTGTAATACTGTTACAAAAAATGGAATTTCGTTTGAACGCATGTCCTATTTGTCTTATTTGCTTAGATTGTCAAAATAATTATGGTCAAAATTGCACTTGTCAAAGTAAGAGAAGTAAAATGGAAGAAAAAGAAAACTGAATAGTAAATAGTGTGTCATGATTGGTTATCACGTGTTTATTGAAATTGCCGACACCCGACAACCCGACAAATACCCGGCATCAAATTTGCCGAGTGTCCCGCATATTTTGTTTTGCTGTAAGTAATTATCGTCGCTTTTTTTTTTTGATAATGGACGCAAATATTTTAAAATTCTACAAATGATTTATTAGATGAATTGAGTATTTACATACAATAGATTAGAAGAAATAATAGAAGAAGGTGAATTGGATTTAGATAAATACTGGAAAGAATATAGTTTAATATTACCTTATTTATCAAAAATAGCATTGATTTATATTTGGTTACCAGTAGTCGGAGTAGATATAGAGCGCTGTTTTTCTAATTATAAAAATATTTTCAATGCTTAACTCTTTATATTATAACCAAAAATAGCGAATTATGTAAGATTTTTATTAAACTTTTTTTTTTGCATTGCACGGGTTCTAATACAGGTATTCTAAAAGACAAAATTTTAATTAGGCAATATGTAACACTTTAAATTTTTTTTATACAGTAATATTAAGGTTAGATGTTACACGAGAATTTTTTTATTATGTAAGATAGATGATGTAAATCATCATTTAAACTTTTTTCCTTTTTGTCATAATACTGTCTATATATTTCTAATTAAATTTTTGGATCAGTAAACATGAGTCATAAACCATAAAGTATGGATGTTACAAACTGTTTGTCTTTGAAAGTAAATTAATTTTTGAAAATCCTCATGGTCAGCGCTATTGATCACAAATTATCCAGAGAAGTAAAAGACCATTTAACTCTTTTTTTTCTTCCTTCACGAGAATTATAATATTCAACACGTTGAAAAATTGATATTGATGATTGAAGTTGGTTGTATTCTCGATATGAAATGTCTAATACCGGTTTTTTTCCATAACGAGCTTGCAATGAATATCAGATATGCCATCTGCAGATCGTCCAAGTTTATTCCAAAGTAGCACATTAACTTAGTTCCCAATGTAATTAATAATTATGTTGCATGTGCTGCAATTCCGCATTTATGAAGAATAGGGCAGGACAATAAACGAATTTAAGATGAATTTGGAAATCCAAGAAGGTCACTGAGCCGAAGAATGAAAAACAAAAATCTCGAGTTCAAATGAACGGCCCTCGTAATCATTAATTACGACTCAAGTTCGTGAGTTAAATCGGGAGATATTCCGAATATAGTGTTCCAATGAATTATGACGTTCCAGAATAGTGATAATGTTTTTTGGAGTAACGTTTAGGATGCTGACTTATTCTTTCTTGTCAGAGTCGATTCGAATTTCTCAATAACAACGGGTGCATTTAAAATTATTGGAGCGTGCTGTACTCACGTAATTATATTACGATGTATAAAAATGATCTTTATTGAAATTACTTAATTGCCATAAAAATGAAGCTTCTTAATTTTTGAGAAATGATGTGATGTACATGTATATAGAATTAAAATGCATAAATAAATAGGTTTTAATATTGATAAACTTAAATAATTTACGAAAAATAAAAAGGAATTTTGAAATTTGTGAATGTTTGTGTTTTTGAACTCATTAATCGCGAATGAAGTAAACTACAGTATAACGAAAAAGAAATCTAAAAAAATGGTGAATAATTAAGAATGCTTGTGTATGATTTACCTACTTATCTAAAAAATTTAATTGAAATCTTTAAATCAAAAAAAATATGTCGGAGGTTTGTGTTTGCGGGTTCCAGAATTATTGAAAGGAAGCAAACACCAACATACATATAAATCTTATAATTGAAAAAGAATAAAATTGGTGAATAAGTTTGTGTTGTTTATAAAGTTACATAGAGAGAGAGAGATAGAGCACAAAATTTGAAGAAATATTTCGTGATTTTTTAGAATTACCTAACATAAAAATGATCTGAATAATCCTTGATTTACAAATTGAATGTATTTTTTTTATCAATGATTCGCATATTTCGCATAAGAAAATAACTTGGTCTGTGGTGAATGAAGGCATTTTTTTTAATAATTTGCTTTATTAGGTGGGTTTATTCGATAAAAATGTGAATTTTTTAAATAATCTAACGCTATTTAGAACGATTGAATAATGGAATAAAAAAAATGATGATGAGTGGCTCTGATTTTATAAAAAAAAAAAAAAGTGGTTTTACCCCTCTTTATATAAGGAATATAATTTATTGCTCGGCCGGTCCAGTGATTTCATTATTCGACGCGTTTCAAATTCTTTCAGGTCCTTAACTTACCCATATAGTTATCATTTAATGAACAATGAACAAATATTCAATGTTCATTGGTTATCGTCCAAAAAATTTCACGTGATATAATTGTCACATTAACTTACCCATATAGTTATTAAATTTTAAATGAACAATGAACAAATATTCAATGTTCATTGGTTATCTGACTATTTGTTCAATATGGCGCAGTATGCATGCAGACATTTATAAATCAAAAAATTTTAATTTTTTTTTTTACAACTCCATCCTTTGTTATTATTGCTTGTTCAATAGCTTTCAATTGCAGTCGCTACTCCTCTCATGTTATACATTTTTATTACTTTTTTGTTAACTTCAACAAACCTTTCTAGAGTTCGATTGATTCTTTATTTAGAGGCTTTTTAAGATATTTTATTTCTCATTCTAGTTGCTCGATAGCAAATGACATTTATGTAGATGTCTGATCAGTTGATCGACAAAATTTTATTAAGCTAATAAGCTAATGTAAGCAAAGCAATTGATTGTCAAGCTTATTGTCCGAAGCGTAAGCGTAGGACACTTTTGGTTAGAGCTGAAACCATGCATGTGGTGTCTGCCCAACACGTGATCTTCCTAATCATGTGATTAACATAAATCGATTTATGATTGGCTAAAATTTAAGTTGAACGCTTCGGACGCTTCAACGGTCCCGTTACCTAGTATTTACATATATTCGCATCCTCAAATTACAATAACAGTAAAAAAAAAATTTATTTATTTATTTTTTTATTTTATTTTTATTTAATAAAAAAAAAAACAAACGGTTCAAAACATGTTGTCTAATATATGCATATTTTAATATACATGTTTAAGGTTTTTAATTAAATTTTTATTGTGATTTTTTTCTTATACTAATAAAAATATAATACTAAAAATAAAAATTTCTATTACAGCTATTTCATATTTATTATAATAAAAAATTAATTAAATACAGTAGTATATTTAAATTTTTTATTAATGGATAATATATCAAATTTTTTTTTTTGTATAGTTTTCAAATCAAAGTTATCTATTTTGATTTCCTAATAATTGTTTTCTTCCTCTTATATAGTCCATAATTCAAAGCAAAAAGAACTTTATGTTATTCTCCTATAATATATTAATTTTAAATTTATTTAATAATTGTTCTTAAATTTCTACATATTTTTTTGTGTTTTTAATTAATGTTGTTTATTCCGTCAAGTTGTATTTAAATTCAAAGCATTTATTAAGATAAAATTTTATAATTTTAAAAAATTATTGTTTATTTAAAAAATTTGAATTTTTTGTATTTTACATAAAATGCAACTGAACAACACACTCTACAACCTAAGAAAATCTTCTTCCTCCCATAAAATTACATATATTTTTGTTTTTAAAGTTATATAATCGTAAGAAGATCTTGAAAAAAAAACTTATTTTTAAAGCGAAGTTTCGCGTGAATGTAAAAAAAAAAAAAATCACCCAAAAGGAAAATCAATGGCTAGAATTGATTGAACACATGATCTATCAATTTTTTAGTTAATATGAATGGTAAGTGTAACATTTTGCGATAGAGTAAAGTAACTCAATTATAGTTACACCGCATGTCCGGCGTTTGCTTTCTTTATCCTTATTCAATTCCACATATATAGATAAAATAAAGTACAATCGACTCTTTCTATAACGAACCTCTTTATAAGGAATTCTGATTATACGAACTCAATTTTAACAATAGTATAAAAAGTTAATGGTTCATATAGAAAACATTTTTTTTCTAACAGAACCGTCAATTCGTTATCGAAAGAATTGACTGTATTATTGTTCATTGTACTTGGTATAAAGTTTTTTTTGTTCTTTATGTAATCAGAACAACAAAACACATTGAATTCTCAAAGATGACGGCATGAATAAGACTAAACTTTATATGCAAAATGCAAATGCAAACATGTTTAACGCCTGTTTATGTTTTGTTTTCCTCTTACGTTCCCAAAATTTATTTTTTTTTTTTATATATCCATAAAATATTCCCTTTTTCCCAATCTTAATTTTTATTATAATTTTCCAATGACTTCATCTAACTCGATCATTCAGTAAGTGAAAATTTTATTGTGTAATTGGACTAATTTAGGGCCTCTTCAAATTGAATTTGTCGCTCGTTATTTGTCACCGACGTGGCTTAACCTTTCACACATTCCGGACGTGACAGCCTAGACCATGATATTCCTTCGCTCGCTCCATACTAACGTCTCGGATCGAAAATTTTTTTTTTTCCTTTAAATGCCCGAAACACAATTCTTAAACACAAAACTTTATTCTGACATTACTCTTTTGTTCATTTGCAATTGAAAGATTTAATGTTTAAATTTTTTTCAACTATTCGAGAACCTCCGACATATTCTTTTTCATTATTTACATTCTTAATTTATGATTTAGTCTTATTACATTCGCAATTAGGAATTCAAACATTCTCAATTTTCAAAATTCCTATTTTTTTTTTATTAAAGTTATCAATATTATATATTTTATTTATGTTTTAGTTCTTTCGTTTCTAAAATTATTTTGCATTATTTATCCTAAAAATTTGGAAATATACATGCATAATTCCTCCTATTATGAGATCCTCAAAAAATAAATAATATTTTTGGGGCGTTGGGTGCATCCATTGACGATATCAACATTAAGTTTTAACTGTATTTGGCGTTTTGAAACTACAGTAAACAGGTAATAGATGAACAAAGATAATTAAACAAAGCAAAATGTACCTAAAATATCATGATTGTGGTTATTAAAAAGGAAGATCATCGAAAAATTTTTTGCCTTAAAAAGATCCTTAAGCATCGATGTTTTTTTTTAAAATTTGAATTTCTCAAGTAAAGATTCATATATTATTTTATGAAGTCATTTTTTATTGCTAAAATGAAAAAGAACTTGTTATTCCATGATATTTTAAAACTACTTGGAATTCTTTCCCTCCTTGTACAACCAACATTCGCTCAGGAAGATGATAGTTTTAGAGTAATAGATTCATTCGATATCCTTATAACAGCACTCCATTCAATGTTGTTGTATTTAAATATGAAAAAAAAGGATCCTTTAAAGGAAATTAGTAAACTTGGTTTGTTATATCAAGTCATTATCATTGTTTTAGAAATTTGGTTTATTATTAACATGTACAAAAAAACAAACGATGTCTTCTTTATGCGTTACTTGATAATATATATCATAATTATAGCAGTATATTTTTTGATTGATTTATTACTACTGATACCAAAACAAAACCCCGTGACATTCTTATTCATAAAATCATATTTCCTGCCTTTGTTCGAAGTGATTATTCACACAATTTTCTTCTTATTCGCTTTTTTTAGATTTATTTACATCAGTAATGACGTATTGTTTATCATGATCCCCTATATTATTCCAACCCTTTACGCGATATATAAGTCAGTTAGAAACTTTCATATTATACGTCGTAACAATGAGGTTACCGATAATAGCATTAGTTTTCAAGATATTAATAACCGTCTTGCAACATTTAATGAAGATTATGATTTGAAATTTATACATTTTTTATATTATACATACATCGGATTTATTTTGGTGACATTATGTGCTCCATCTAGTTTATGGCTAAAAAGTTACTTGATTATGGTCGTTTTTTCCCGAGCCATTGCGGATAAAAAATCAGAGATCGTCAATGCGTCTCATCAAAGGGAAGTAGTTGAATGTTGAAAAGGTAGTGCTTTCTAGTACCTACTTTCATTGATTTTTGTTGGACATTGGAAAAATAGTTAATTCTATCTTAAATAGATTCAATGGATGGCAGAATTATTATTATTTCAAATATTTTTAATAAAGAATCTATTTATTAATGTACCGCGATTTATGATGTTCGAAAATATGGATTTGAGAACTTGTCGATTTTTAACACGCTGATTTTTTTTTTATTTCAGATCATGTATTGCTATAAACAATAAATGCTTTATTTCATTTTTTTTAATTTATTTATTTTCCCCACAAACTTCAAAATCCGAATATTTTCATTATTATTTATTAGTTAGCGAAAGAAAAAATCCGAAAATTTGCTGTGTTAGCTTACTAAAATTCGTATTTATTTTTGACGATTTTGCTTATCTTTTCCCTGATTTGGTTAGTTTTCCCTCGTCTTAAATAATAATAATATATTAGCTCTTACGTTTAACTAAAATAAACAAATCAAAACAAAAACGTAATGCAAGCTTTCGAAATTCGCAACATTAAGGAATTGGAATATTTACAGTTGTATCACCCTATGATATACACCAGAGTTGGCCAAATGATTCAAATGACCTCAAATGACCAAATGACTTGTCATTAGTCATTTGGGTCATTTCAAAATGCAAATGACCGATAAAAAGGTCATTTGGTTAATCCAATCATTTTAAAGATAAAATTTATTTATTTAGAATATTTAATATTGCATTTAGCTACATGAATAAAATCAACACTTAGAATATTAAGCATATTTATTTAAAATTTTTATTTATTTTTATTAACAGATTAATGTAATTGATTATTTATTAAAAATAAAGATTAGTATTAACATTTTGCATAACGCCATTAACGAACCTAAAGATAAAAAAAACTAAAGAATTAATAAAAACAAAAGTATAAACAAAAAAAAACAAAAGAGATAAGAAAAAAAAGAAAAAAATTAATGAAAAAAAAAGAAATTAAAAGTAGAAAAAGAATGAAATGACTTACCATTTCGTTCAAAATTCAAGTTCCCGGTCGTTCGTCCGTTCGTTCAGGTTCTGTTTCTAAAAGAAAAGAATAAGAAAAATAAATTAGAAAAATAGTAAGAATTTCAAATAAAAAAGAATAAAAAAAAGAATAAAAGAAAAATGATGATTCACCATTTTGTTCTCAAGATCCTGGTCGTTCGGCTTTGTCCGTTCATTCAGGCTTAATTCCTAAAAAAAGGAAAAGAGAACGTTAATTACATTCCTTAAGAGTGAAAAAAAAAAAGAAACATTACCTTAACAAAGTACATTTCATTCGTTCAAGTTTAAAAAAAAAGATTTATCTTTTAAAATAAACTAAATTGGATAAATTTTGCCGATCTGATGTTTGATCGAAATTTTTACTGCGCCATTTAAAAAAATAATAAAGTAATCCAAGGATTTGTATTTAGAAATCCTTAGAGAATCTGTCCCCTTATGGAATCCTAAAAAATCATTAAAATTTGTCCAAGGATTTTTAGGTATTACAGTTTTTTATTGGTTCTCGCAAATGACTTTCAAATGACCTCAAATGACCTGACTACCGAAAGGGTCATTTAGGTCATTTGTCATTTGCGAAATGACATAATTTAAATGATCCAAATGATCGGGTCATTCAATTCAAAATTGCCAAAAGATCAGGTCATTTTCCAACACTGATATACACACTCTCTCATTTCAAACATCAAAAGAGAAAAAAAAAAATTGGGGGAGTTATTTTGTTTTTGAATACCGAAATAACGAGATCCGCAATTTACAAGTTTTTTAATGGAAAAAAAAAAAAAATCTTGACATGATTACACACCCTAATAGCGGTCTCGATGATCATTTTATTGACTCAGGTTCGACTCGGGTGGTAAGTCGAAATAAACATGTCACCTGATTTGACATGATCACTGGACAAAAATATGTGTTTCATTTTTTTTTTCATTTGCTTTATTTGTGATTCCGGATCAATAAATCTGTTTAATGATAATCTGGACATTCATACGAGGAACAAAACGTTTCGTCAAAAAAAATATTTTGTTGTTTGGCATTTGTTGTCCCGCGGCATTGCTTCTTTTAGGAAATAATGTCTCTCTTTTGATGCAAAAAAATCAAAAATCAAAATTTCATTGTTACAAAAAAAAAAAATTGTTTACATGACAAATAGGATTAGAGTTGTTTAATGTAAAAAGCATATTATTTAGAAAGTAGTTATAGAACAGAAGGTTTTAAATACTCATTTGTAATTTATCTTTAAAGATGTAAATAATTGTATCGTATTATGGATTCAAAGTTGAGTATGTTTTATTAACTAATTTTGACTAAAAAGAGGTTAAGTGTCTTATTGTGTTTGATCAAATATTTAATTGCTGAAATATTTGAACGCCAAAAAACACCGAAACTCGAAATCCCGACAAAATATAAACTTGAATACCGAAATCTCGAACAACCCAACTTCTGATGAATAATCCCGAAATAATGAAAAACTGAAAAGTAATGATATTCCGATGATTACTAAGTTCAAAATTCCGATACCAATTTAGTATTACAAAGAAAAATTAGGAATAACTTTCAGCGGGAACAACGAGATGTTATATGATAAATAACCATCTAATCTGTATACCTAACCTAAAGCCTAACAATAATTATAATAGTTATATATGTCACACATAATCACCCCATTTAAACCATCAGCTGTAAATTATGATAAAATTAGTCGGGATTTCGAATCATCGGGATATTGATGATGTTGAGAAACCGTATGTCGGAATGTGATTTTCAGATTTATATCGTTTCGTGATTTGGATCCCGCCAGAATCTTGGATATTGACAGTTATATAACGAAAGTAGGAAAAAAAAAAATAACCCAGATTTTAAACTGTAGATGATACCTGATTCTTTTTCAATTACGATTTTCCTATTCATTATTAAAAACTTACCTTTCCTAAATTTTCAAATACCGGTAGAAGGATTTCTTTTAATTTATAAAAAAAAAAAAAAAATTCGTTTAAGATGATGGGTTTTTAAGTCACATGATTATGTTAGGTTCCACTATGATTGTCTCCTGTGTAACACCCATTACCAATCGATTTCCCCCCTTTTTTTAAAAAAAAAGTATAAATAATGTGGCTTTGGCTTACTTATACTTTGATAACTTTGCGTTGCTTCATTATGTTTCTTATTTTCTATATACGTAAGCTTTCTAATTCTTGTTTCTCTTTCTTTCCTTACCCTTACTATCAGTAAGTGAGCCTTAATAATATTAGTCAACGCAAGTTGTTTCGTTGCCGTCATACTCTTTTATGATAATAATAATGCTTTGCGTCCAAAAAATCCTTCAACTTCTTGTTTTCGAGCCTCCCACCGAACAACCTTAGGTCATCCTAACAATATTATACCTATTCATTGTTCACCAACTAGCGGTCAGAGTTCAACTCAACTAAATGAATTAAAGAAATATGAAAACTCGTAGCTGAACATTAGGTTCCGGAAAGACAAAGATACCTTTATGTAAAAATACGGGATTTAATTACAGGAACAAGTGATAACCGTCGACCTTCAAAGTATGATTGAGCAACCTCCGTTCCCATCTGAAACCGTAACCTTCGATCAACAATGATAATTACGCGCTACATTTTTCTTTGCTCATAGCGCGGGTTTACATTTTTCATTAGGTATGGCATGAACAAGTACAACTGAGTTATGCTACAATTACTGTATTTTTCCTCAATATTTTTTCCCAGACGTGCCTGGTTTTCAAAGAGCATCACTTAAAATTCCAATTGGTTTTGGAAAACGAAAACGATTTAGATCAGAATATAAGAAATTTATTAGTAGGATCTTTCTTATTTATTTATGATGATGTTTATGATGATGATTTATGATGCTTGTTTGGTATTTACTTATTTTTGCTTCAATTATGGTTTTCTTGGATGAAGCAACGGAGTTATTATATCGCTATCAAAGTCAATTCACAAAGTCGACAATACCGGACGTATGACCACTCATTCTACAATGTGCATGTGCTGCAATTCCGCATTTATGTGAAATTACACTGGAATAGAACAGGACGAACAGCGAATTTAAGATGAATTGAAATCCGAGAAGATCACTGAGCAGAATGAAGGACAAAGTTCTCGAGCTTTTTAAAAGAACGACGAACTCGTAATAATTAATTACGGGTGGGTGAAGACGAGAGATATTTCCGAATACGATGTTGGGGGATCGTTTGGCAAATGAGCGGGATGCTAACTCCTGTTAAAGGGTATACAGTCGATTGATGAGGTATACCTTCCGAATTTCTCAAGGACAATGAGTCAGTTAGAATCATTGGAGCGTGCTGTTCTACAACGTGAAAAAATAAAAAAATACGAAGAAATGATAACGATAATTTCTTTATTGTATAATATTGAATAGCTTAATTGTCATAAAAATGAATCTTAATTTGAGAGAAATTATGTAAAAACCTAAAGGAATAAACATAAAAATTTAACTAATCTTAAAATAAAGTAAAAAAAAAGATCAAAAACAAATTACGAAAATAAAAATGTAAATTTGTGAATGTAATATTGGTGAATTCTTAATCATGATGTAAAAAGATCGTCAACTATAAACAAATAAATTTGCGAAAAGAAATGAATAACAATGAGTTTCATTATTATCTTAAGTTCCAAATGAAATAAATATCAAAATTGGAGATTTGCGTGTAAAGGAAAAATAATTAAAAAAAAAATTTTTTAATTTTTTTTTTATTACTCAATTTATAAATGATTTTCATCACTTGAAACTTGTAAATTCGGTTTATTTTTTTTATTGATTGGCTTAGTAGTTGGATCAAGTAGAGCACATTGTCGGGTGTTATTATGGTCATTTTTGTATGGTTTTTTTTTAAAAAAAAGAAAACGAAAAAAAAGGATTTTTTTTATATATTTTTTCCTTAAATGATCTAACTTATAAAATGACATTTATTAGAAATTCTTCGTCATATTATTTCTTCGCACCTTCCGTAATAAAGTATTTCTAACAATACAATAATACAATATATAAATTCACGCGAAAAGGTATTATTATTATGCATTCTCGTTATGACGTAATATACAAATTGATTATTTTTTTTTTTTTTATCATATCATGGGCACAACAACTTGGCGTGAAGAAAAGATCAATGATTACATATTAAACAATGTGAGGTAAAAGAAGGGACAAAAAAAAATTTTTTTTCAATAATATGGCAGATAACATTGCGCATTAGCCGTGGAAAAGCAAATCTGAAACGTCTGCAAAAATATCCAATTTTGTCCTAAACTATTAATTGATGTCACACAAAAAAAGTTAAAATTAAAAGTTAAAATTAAAAGTTAAAATTAAAAAATTTTTTTTTTTTATTTTGGTTTTCACTTTGTTTTCTTAAAAAGGTAAGTTTTTTTTTAATGAAGTTAATTAGATTTACAATTGTTTTTCTGACATGGACGATTATTTTCTGGTGATGATGAAATGATGAAATTAAATTCTGCAATGCATTGTGCATGATTTTGTTTAAAACGCCCTTTAAGTTCTGGTGTATAGTTGCCCATACCTCATACTATAGAATCCAAATCCCATACTATATTTAAAATCCCATATCCCATATAAGAAATATCATTTAATTTATAATATATTTTTAGGTATATTTTAATTAATATCTCACTTACAAAAATGAAATAATAATCATTTGAATCTCTCATAAAGATGAAGCCAATAAACTAAAATATCATTAAATTATTATCATTAATTATGATGATATTGTTTGTTAAAGTTTTAGTTTAAGGAATGGGATTTGGGATGGGATGGAATTGGGACTTTATCCCATACCTATTTAGTATATCATATAAAAAATTACAATAAAAAACTGATGGGTGTGACGATATCACAGGTCAGTACCTTCTGGCAGGGTTAATGTATGACGAACTTTCTTTTGATTAAACAATAATGATACAATAAAATAGTGATTGGGAAACGTCACTAAAAATTTAATTCAGTTAACCAAGTTCGGTTAAACAGATTTTTAATAAAAAAAAAATATATATATAGAAAGATACCAGAGCATCTGTAAGTGATCGACACGGTTAAAAAAAAGTGGCTTAGAATCATGATTGTGAATTAATAGCAGTGGTATTAAGTTCTCTTAAACGTGAAAGATAAGAGACCGAAGGTTTTAATTTCTAATTGTTTATAATAAATGAAATCTTTATAGATGCAGATAATTAATTAAATTATCATTTTAGGACGGTTACTAAGAAATTAATGGAAGAGTTAAGAACCGTAGGTTTGAGTTTATTTTATCGAATGACAGATAATGTGATTAAATTTTTCTTCTCTACTTTTTTTTTTTTAAAACTATTTATTGCAATATATTATTAGGTACTCTAGAAATTTGAAATTTTTGTTAAATTCAACCACTGGTAAAGTTGAAAAATATCATCATTTGCGATTCGGATTATTTGTTTCCTTCGAGCGGTCATATTAAGCGGAGACCATGCCGCGGAGTACCGGAGAAATGTCACCGCAGCATCGCGGTGACGCGAAAGTCATTACGCATCCCATTTCGGGATTTTATATTTCCGTTTGACAATAAAAAAAATATATTTAATATTAGGTTAGAAATTTCCGACCTCCTTCTTAAAGATCGACGATATATATGTAGTAAGCTCATTTTAATCAACTACAAAATTATGTACAATTGTGTATTTTTTTAAATCATGATTTATATGTATGATATTTTAAGATTAAAAAATTGATTGACAAGCGTTTAGCGAAGGTATAGTCTGATTTTGACAAAACTGACACAATTGATGTCATTCATCAAGATTAAGTTTAAAGATATCACGATTAAAAGAATAAATGAACGATCACCGTAAGGGTTCCAGGATTTTTTTTTTTTTTTTTTTTTTGCTGGAAGAAACAAAGATAGGTAGGTGTTTGCTGATAAAAATAAATTTTTCCTAAGGTTTATATATAAAAACATTATGTCAATATTCTTAATTTTAAAATTTTATCTTTATATATCACTTTACCTTGTTTCTTTATAAGCATCGACCATTTTACAATTGGGACAAATAGAAGAGTTTATGATGTCTCTTGTAAAATACCCTTTTCCATATTTGCGTTACAAATATAAGTAACGCTTTGTTTGCAAGTACACAACAAAAAGGTAAATAGTTTCATTGTTGATATCTAACGCACCCCAGAAAAAAGTTTTTTTTTTTTTCTACATTCATTACATAAAACTGACAAGTTCCTAAATTCATATTTAGTACGTTTTTATTTACAAATGGATTTTATAATGAATTAAATATCACGCGAACGCTACACTAAAAATATATTCTTAAATATTAACTAAAAAAAAAAAAAATTTCGAAAGAATAATAAATTCTACCATTGAACTTATTTACATCCACTTGGTGAAAGAACAGTGAGTTATGACTTATATTCTACTAATTGATGTCCAAGTTTGTAACAGTAATTTAACTTTTGTATTTGCAATCAAATAGGATAATAATATTTAACTCAAAGTAAAGGAGAAACAATCTCTCCTTAGTCTATTCTCATAACAATGTTATAAAATAGAATTAGCTATTTTCTTCCAGTGTTCACTTTATATTTTAAAAGTCTTTTTCAAAATTAAACTACTTCCCTTTGATTAGACGTATTGACGATCTCTGATTTTTTATCCGCAATGGCTCGAGAAAAAACGACCATAGTCATATAACTTTTTAACCATAAACTAGATGAAGCACATAATGTCGCCAGAATAAGACCGCTGTACGTATAATATATAAAAGTTATAAATTTCAAATCATAATCTTCATTAAATGTTGCAAGACGGTTATTGATATTACTAATATCGGTAACCTCATTGTTACGACTTATTTTATGAAGGTTTTTAATTGACTTATATATCGCGTAACCGTTTGAAATAATATAAGGGAATATGATAAAAAATACGTCATTACTGATATTGTTAAATCTACGAAAAGCGATGACGAAGAAAATTGTGTGAATAATCACTTCGACTAAAGGAAGGAAACATGATATTATGTATAAGTATGTCACAGGGATAACGGGAAGAAGTTTTGGTATCAGTAGTAATAAATCAATCAAAAAAGATGCAGTTATAATTGTGATATATGTTACCAAATACTGCATAAAGAAGAAATCGTTTGTTTTTTTGTACATGTTAATCATAAACCAAATTCCTAAACCGATGATAATAAACTGACATAACAAACCAAGATTACTAATACCCTTTAAACGATTTTTTTTTTTCAAATTTAAATATATCAACATCGAAAGGAGTGCAGTAATAAGGGTGTCGAATGAATCTGTTACTCTAAAACTATCATCTTCTTGAGCGTGTGTTTGTTGTACAAGGAGGGATAGAATTCCAAGAAATTTAACATTATGAAATAACAAGTTCTTTTTCATTTTAGGGGGAAAAAAAAAAAGAGTCATAGAAATAGTATTCGAATTTTGCTTGAGAAATTCGGATTTTTAATATTTCGATTCTTTTGATTCTTTCTAGCCTTTTAAATCATTTCTCATTTAAGAAAACTTTGGGGCAATATAAAATTACAATGATATTCCTTTTTAATATTTACATTATCCTGTTCGTCCTCATTTACCATGCATGAAATGAATAAAAACGTCCATATCCTGTTAACTGTCAATCAAACCTTGATGCTGATATCGTTATCGGATGCATCATGACTCACTTAAGCTCCAAAAAATTTAATTGATGATTCCAAAAAGAATGCATGGAAGGGTGTTAAAGAACGATTGATTATGCATGTATGTTACCAAAATTTAATCAAAATGAAAATAATTTAGGAATTAATATTATAAAATATTATAAACTTTGCACTAAAGGAAGGGTAATATTGCCGAATATCGCAGGAATTTTCATCTCTTTCCATTGTCAAAGCATTCATAAAAATGTTATATGCTTTCAGAAATTATTCGTCTCACGTGAACGTGAACATTTTTTTCTTCGTGGAACCAGATTACACAAAAAATTCCGATTTTGTCACCGACCAATTAAATCATTATATTTCGAATAGTTACATATAAACCGACCAAATTAAATTGTAAAAAAAAAAAATATGTAAAATGTAAGCAATAGAAAATACCACTTAAATTTTTTTTATTTGGTTATTCGTTAATTTTGGATTAAATATCATTTATAATAACATTTAAATTTTAGATTTTAAGATAATCTATTATTATTTATAAATTAATATCTTTTAGAATATATTATTTTAATCTCTTTATAATATCAGAAAAAGATTAATTAAATAGGATTATTAAAATAATTTGATTATTAATTTTAATAAAATATATTAATCATAATAAAATTTTTAATAATAATAATTTTTTATAATATATAATAAAACTTATTATATAACAATAAAATTTAAAATACAGTTGATTTTCTTTTAATACATCCCCTTAAAATCATAATAAAAAATTTAAAAAATATGCATTTATAGAAGGTATAATTTAAAAAGAAATTTCAATATTATTTCTATATGCTTAGAACTGAATGAAAACATATATTTAGAGAAAAAATATATAGTTTATGTATTTAAAAAGGATGTATTTAGAGAGAGTTGATTATACAATCTAATTTTTGATATAATAAACTTATAATATAAATTATAAAACTTATTTTTAAAATAATAATTTAAAATATCTTGATATACTAAATATTATATAAAATTTTAAAAAATTATTAATTTATCATTTATTATAAATAATAATTTTATTTATTTTTGTATACTAAACTATTACATAATGAATAAATATAAAAATTATTTATAAAAAATTATATAAAAAATATATATTTTAATACATAAAATTTTTATATAATATCTTATATTATATATGTTTTTTATAATAATATATTAAAAGATTATATATAAATATATTTTTTTAATTTATAATATATAAAAAATTATGTAAAATTATTTAAATTAATTAATTAATTAAATTAAAAATAAGTATTATATTATTCTTTCAAAAAATTAATATTTTTATATTAAATTTTATATTTTTTAAGTAAAAATTCAAAAAAAAAAATATAATTAATTAGTGATATTTTAAAGAAAAATATATGATAATTTATTATGAAAAAATGTTAAATTTTTAAACTTATATATTTTACTATCTATTGATTTCAGAAATATAAAATATAATCATTTAATAGATCTTAATAAGATGAATCTAACAAATTAAATTTTATTTTTTGTAATTATTAAATAATAAGTTATTTTAAAAAAAATTAAAAAATTAAAAATTAATATTTATTAATAAGTATTAATTTTAAAAATTTAAAAATACTATCATTAAATATATCTCAATATAATAAATCTAATAAATTTTATTTTCTCTTTTTATAATCACTAAATATTAAAATATTATAATTTTTATACAATATTTTATAATCAATTTTATCTACACTTTAAAGGATAAACTAAAATATAACAATTTTATATTATTAAAATTTTATTAAAACTAATTTTTTGATTTTTCAATACTAGTATTATTATTTATTTATTATAATATTATTATTAGCAATGGTTTTATTTTTAATAATAATAATAATAGTATTAGTAATAATATTGATAATAATAATATTAATATTAATAATATCAATATTAATATTAATCTTATTAATAATATTATTTTCAAAAATTATTAATAAAAAAAATAAAATGTAAGTATTTATTAAATTATAACAAAAAAAATTTATCTTTTTCTATAAATTTACTTTTTATTATTTATATAATTTAGTATTTTAGTTTAAGAAATCTAACTTTATAGTTTAAATAAAATTATTTAATAAGTCTAAATTTAATTAAATCTTAATTTTTATTAATATTAATTTAATATTTATAAAGTAAATTATATTTGTTAATATAAGTAATAAATAAATTTACTTTTTTTAAAATTAGTTGATATTCTTAAAACTTAATTTAAAGTAAAGTTATTTAATAAGTTTAAATTTAATTAGTTTTAATTTTTATTAATATTAGATTAATATTTTTGATTGATTTTTATAATATTTATTAACTAAAGTAAGATCAATTTTTTAAGTTGATTTATAATTGAATTTATATTTTGTATTAATATTAAATTGATTTTATTTGATTTGAGTTATAAATAATCTAATTTATATTTATTATATATTTTTTGCAATATTTTTTAAAATATAAAAAAATTATTATTTTTACTATAATTATAATTTATAAGATAATTTTTTATTTTTTTTAAAAATAATTATAGATTAAAATTTGTATTATAATAATATTATTTAAGATTATTTTCAATTTTAATATGATGCTAATTTGCAGATTTATAAGTATAAGTAAAGTATTTTAGTAAAAACTTTTCTTTTTTATCATAATATTGTAAATTTAATAAAATTAAAAATAATATTAATAAATTTTTGAATAAAATTTATCAATTACATTTATTAATAAAAAGTATTATAATATAAAAATTAATAATTTATAATAATTTTACTTTTAATATTAAATTATATGATAATTTATAAAAGTAAAATACAAATTATAAAAGAAAATCAAATTAATATTAAATAATATATTATTTTTGATTTATAAATAATTTTTTGATTCAATAAATTATATAACTAATATATGTATTTTTTTATAATTTAAGTGTTTATAAATAGTAATTATAAAATTGTAAATTTATATTTTTTGATTTATAAAGTATAATTTTTTGATTTATATTATCAAATTTAAGATAATAAACTAAATAAATAATTATCTCAAAAATCTTTTTCAAGAAAATAAATAATTAAAATAATTTTATTATAATTTTCTTATATAGATAGTTAAAACTATAAAATTATAAGTTTAATTTCATAATTTATTTTAATTTTTAAGTAAAATTCTATTAATATAAGATTAACTTATAGATTTATTTATATAAATTCTTAATTATTATTAAATTACTTCTTTTTATAATAATAAAATAAAAAATATAATAAAATAAATTTATAATATATAATTTAGAAAATAATTTAAATATTATATAGTAAGTACTTATTATTTATATCAATATCTGATTATTTAAGAAATTAATATATTATACATTATAGTAATGATGATAAATAATAAATTTAACATAATAAAATATGTTATAATAACTTAATTAATATTAATGTTATAAATATGATTTTACTATTATTAGATTCCTCTTATTGAGATAATTTTAATGGAATTTTCAATATTAGACAGATTTTTAAATATAAAAAAACTCTTACTATACTGAATTTAGTGATTAAGATTCATACTATATTTAATGAAATAAAGTCAAAAAAATTTATATATAAAATAATTCTTTTTATAATGAATTTTTTTTGATATAACGAAGTTTTGTTTAAAATGAATTTTACTAGATTTATGTATATAAAATTTTGTAGTTCTTTATACCTAGGTTTTAAATAAAATTAAAAAAATGAATAAATATTTACATTACGTATTATGTCTTATATTTTATATTTTTTTTACATATTTTATTTTTTACGTGTTTTTTTTCTTTGCATAATGCTAATAATGCCAAAAGTAAACTTAAAGAAACAATTTAATTAACCTACTAATAAACAAAATGAACCTTTAAAAAAAATGAAAGTCTCTGATAACTGTACAAAAAAAAGAACTTTGTTTGAAAAAAATATCATCTCTGTTTTTAAAACAAAAAGATTTGGCTAATAAATATGACATTAGTGAAGGCATGGTAAGTGACATTTAAAGGAGAAAGACTATTGGCTTTCTGTGAATACAAATTCATACCAAGTCAATTTAAAACGTGATAAGAAAACTTTATTCCTTCTCATTAAAGAAGTATTAGTAATATGAGTAGATAACGCACTCAAAGCTAGCCTAATTATTACTGATGATATTCTTTTAACAAAAGCCTTGAGTTTTGCTTTTTTATTAAAAGAGGATAAGTTTAAAGTATCTAGTAGTTGGGTGGACAACTTTAAAAAATGACACAACTTTAAATAGTATATTATACATAGTATCACCGTGAAATTCTTCAACTTGAGGTAGTCACGTTATCAAGTCTCTACTCGAAATTTCTTAACTATGGATTACTGCAGTTAAGACATTAGAATCCGCCTAACTCTTAACTTTACCAAATCTATGCGTTAAACTTAAACAAATCTATCAAGTATGAAGACTTGAAAGACGAGATTACAGACAATTTTAATTAAAGAATTCTGAATGATGAACTCAATTACAAATAATGTGTAGGAATTATGTCAGACTATATGAAGACATGAAGAGGCAGAAAGATATAAATTTTAAGTTGATTCCTTTATTAATATTGAAACTTGTATTCACAAAAGAGTTTACAAATCTGCAAAAGAGTTAATTTACAACATAAGCAAAAAGTCT